ACTGGCTCAGCCAGTTTTTTTTGTTTTTATTTACTATTGACTTTATTTTTTTCACAGATGTATTCTATTACACAATGGGTTTTTATTTATTATTAGTGTATTTTTTGGGTCACTAGAGGGCAGTGCAGCACTATTCTTGGGGAGTTTTATTGATGTGGGAAAGCAGTTAGGTGCTTGCAGCAGCTTATCATTTGTTTGTGACAGCGCATGAGTATTATATCCTTAGTTTTGTTTAAAATTTCATTTTATAACATCAGTATTTTAATAATAATAGTTGTTTTTGACAAGCAGTGATTCCTGTACTGACTCCACCTCCTGAAACTCCCCCTCTCAGCACCTCTGTAGATTAGAAGGCAGGCTCTATGAAATGTGAGACACAGCAGTGCCTACTTGCAGGGCATGGTGAATATGTGTCACAGAATTCAAGGAAGTACGTTTTAACGAACTTAAAAATTATTCAGATTATTAGAAGTAGGCTAGAAATAATTGAAATACACTGTGGAAATGAATACACAATTTTAAATTTTTACCATAGATACCCTTTAAAGGAGAACTAAACCCATCAATTTAATTGTTCACAAAACAGGTACATTCAAGGCATACCATGAATGATAACTGTCACAGTTGCTTGTGCTCTCAACAACCCTCAAATAGCTGTTCTCATAACATGTCACACGTGCAGCACCATGTCAACTTCAGATCAAACAGGCTAAGGTGGTGGCTTCCTTGGCTGTAAAGGATAATAGAATTTATTTCAGCTTTAAAGTGGAACTACACTGCATCTGAGCACCACAAACCAAAAATGATGTTTAATTCATTTTTATTATTCAAAGCAAACTCACTCCTCCATTCATGTCTCCGTGCTTTATTTTGAGAAATCATTTTGAAAAACACCCCCTGGCACTTCTGATGGAAGTCATCTTTGGTAAGAGCAGATGATTCATGTAGCATGTACTTCCTGGAATCCATCTGCCCTTAGCTCAGTCATAGGCTGAGCTGAGAACCCTCTCTCCCCTCCTGAAGACTCCTAGGATGTATGACATCATTTTCCTAAGCATGGAAACCAGGAAGTAACTGAATGAATGTAAAAAAAAAACACTTTAAAAAAATATAGTTTCCTATCTATTTACTACTACTAGCAGTGTGATGGATTTGGTAAAATGCCTATTTTGTTTCCTATTGAATATATATATATATATATATATATATATATATATAAATATATACGCTATTTCTATAAGTTTTATAAATATTTACTTTTTATACTTTAATACATATGTTGTGTGAATATTTTCTGCCTGCTGGGCTTTGTGGTACTATAAGAAATCCTTGCTTAAGAAATGTCTGCTCACACACACAGACCCCCTCCCACCGTGTGATTTGGGAAACAAAGGAATGTTTTTCTCTCTTTAAGATAAGATGGAAGAAGATCACACCTATACCATGACGGAGATTGTTTTCGTGTAAAGTGACCAATCAAAGACTAATATAATGCTTATGCTGTTATCACGTGATGTTCGCATCATTTTTCATATATAAACTCACGGTTTCATTTCAATAAATTAGAGAGAAGTTTTCACAGACCAAACGTGTCAGTGTGAGTTTCTTCATGTGCGCACATTCCAGAAGCTGGCCAGCATCATAAATTAGGACAGGAACAGATAAGCACTGGACGATTAGGTCCTCGACTAAATCAACTGGTGCCGAAACCCGGGAACTCTGAGTAATTAACCTGCAGCCAGCTGACCTGAAAAGGCGTTCGGTGTCAGTCAAACTGGACAGGCCGGAGATTGATCACCTCTGGAGCATGGTAAGATATATTTTGCTATCTTACCATTGCTTATCCTGTCTTTGTTGTTGATTCATACCTGTGCCTAGTACGGCTGCTAAAGGTCACTAAAGGCAGGTAACCTTGCTTGCCCGGAGTTTATTAAATATACCTGCATGTGCTTATCTGTTACCTGGGTCTCTGTTGTGTGTTTTTATGTATCAGTCTTGAGGTGGAAGAGGAGTGGACCTACTGAGGGGTTTTGACACATAATTTCTCTTGGTGTGTGTGGTAACCTTGTGTGTTGACCACAAGAGAGGAGGTGTCGGGTACGGTCACATAGTGTGACAGCGGGGTGCCATAACCGTGTTTGTGTGGGTTACGAAGATTTACTCAGTGATATGTACTCATAGCCCACCAAGATAGAACTGCTAATTTATGTCCATACAGTTGCAAGAAAAAAGTATGTGAACCCCTTGGGATTACGTGGAGTTTTGCATGAATTGGGCATAAAATGTGCTCTTAATGTCATCTAAGTCACAACAATAGAAGAACACAGTCTGCTGAACATAATACTACACAAACATTAGATGTTGCCATGGTTTATTTGCACATAACATGTAAACATTCACAGCCAGGGAGGAAAAAGTATGTGAACCTTTGGACTTAAAAACTG